CTCTCCTAGAACATATTTGGCAATATCTGGAGACAGCTTTGAATGTCGTGTAGTGGATAGAGGTCAGAGATACTGCTAATTCACCTATAAAGTATGGGAGAGTCACCATAGTAAAGAATTAGCAGCCAAAGATGTCAGTAGTGCTAGAGTTGAGAGACTCTTTCTTAAAGCATGAAAAATGATTGTTATTTTAGCACAGAATTATAGTTACATTAAATGTAAAAATATAGGTGATATAACACAAAATGGAAGGAATAGAAGGGAAAAAAAGGAGAATGGGGTATTTACATTTTACATAAAGAGGAGACTGAAATTCTAGAATTAATGGACTAATGAAGGGAGGTGGGTATACTATTCAAATTATAAAGACAAGGAAAAATAACAGTGATAAAGCTATCAAGATGAGGAAGGAGAAAGAAAGGGAAATAGGATGCAATGAGGAGACAATAGAAATTGCCTAAAATTGATAAATAAGTAATATTTTAAGTTTTCATTTGAAATTATGGAGGTAACCACTGATGGGGTTCAGAACACACTACTCCAAAACACGGCACCTTAAATATTAAATATTTTAAGCTGAAGGAGTTCAAGAAAACAGCAGAGGCATGAAGATTTTTCTGACCTTCCCCCATCTTTCTTCCCTGAAACAGGTCATAAAGCCCCCAGGTGACAGGTATCCTTCCTATATGTGCAGGAGATGAGCAGCCTTATCTCTGAAGATAAAGGGACATAAAGAAGAATCCTAGCAAACAGGTCTTCCTGGTGGCTCAGACAGTAAAGCGTCTGCCTGGAATGCGGGAGACCCTGATTTGACCCCTGGGTTGGGAAGATCCCCTGGAGAAGGAAATGACAACTCACTCCAGTACCCTTGTCTGGAAAGTCCCATGGACAGAGGAGCCTGGTAGGCTACAATCCATGGAGTCACAGAGTCGGATGCGACTGAGCGACTTCACTCACTCTCAACAAATAGGTCTTGCTAACTTTCCCCAAGCTGGCTACACTGCCTTCATGTTCTTTGATCTATCACACTTATTCCAATGAATGACTACCCATTCGCCATCATACTCGGCATAAAACTACTCAGGTTTGCTTTTTTGGGTTTTTATTTCCTTTTGAAGTTTCCCATGTCACACAAAATGTATATTAAATAAAGGTATAGGCTTTTTTCCCATTAATCTGTGTTTGTCAGTTGAGTTTTCAGACACAGTCGGGAAAAATAAGAAGGTGGAAGAAAAGGTTTTCCTCCCACACACCACCAGAAGAACAAAACTTAAAAAGTTTAAAAGAAGTTGCATCAAAGAAGCAGGTCTGGGAAGAGGGAGGACCGAGAAAGAGGATGTTATTGTTCATGATAAATTCTGCTGCACTTTTTAAATTTTTTACTACACACTTGCATTGCTTTAATAAAAATGTAACCTAAAAAAAGTTGGAGGGTTAACCTAGGTGATCTACTCATAGTGCGGTATTGGTGACACAGTAATGTTTAAATAAGCACACATGATACCCTGTCAAATGGAATTTATTTAAGAAGCTGTTCTCCCTTATAGAAAGTTTCATTTATTTGCATTGCAGTAAAATAAAAATTTTAAAATATAGCATAAAACTTACTGTCCTAATAGCTACAAAAAAGTATATAGAATTCTGGATCTGGACAGGAAGGAAAACAAAACTGAAAATAGTTCAAGTTTGTTGAGAGGATTAGACACCAATGTTTTCATTTTAGCTTTTCATTAATGTTGTTCATTATTGATTAATAGTATTATTCCCTATGTTATGATTAATTAATTAGATCAATTGACTTTTAAGTTACTCTCAAGTTATTATTTTAAATTTAATATAACCTAGACAGCATATTAAAAAGCAGAGACATTACTTTGCCAACAAAGGTCCATCTAGTCAAAGCTATGGTTTTTCCAGTAGTCATGTATGGATGTGAGAGTTGGACTATAAAGAAAGTCGAGTGCCAAAGAATTGATGCTTTTGAACTATGGTGTTGGAGAAGACTCTTGAGAGTCCCTTGGACTGCAAAGAGATCAAACCAGTCAATCCAAAAGGAAATCAATTCTGAATATTCACCAGAAGGACTGATGCTGAAGCTGAAACTCCAATACTTTGGCCACCTGATGCGAAAAACTGACTCATTGGAAAAGACCTGATATTGGGAAAGACTGAGGGCAGGAGGAAAAGGGGACAACAGAGGACAAGATGGTTGGGTAGCATCACCAACTCAATGGACATGAGTTTGAGTAAGCTCTGGGAGTTGGTGATGGACAGGGAAGCCTGTCATGCTGTAGTCCATGGGGTCACAACAAGTCAGACACGACTGAGCGACTGAACTGAACTGAGATTTAATGTAATTACATTACATTATTTAATTTTTAATTTACAATACATTAATTAATATTATATTTACATTACAAATTTAATGTGAGTTTTATAAGTTTTTAGAACCTGAAACTTGAAGACACTTGGATGATAGGACTATGAGACCAAAAAAGAGTATTTAGTGTTACAGTCTGAATCTTTGTGTCCCCCGACTTAAGTTCAATCCTTGGGTTGGGAAGATCTCCTGAAGAAGGGAATGGCAACCCACTCCAGTATTCCTGCCTGGAGAATCCCATGGACCAAGGATCCTGGCGGCCTACAGTCCATGTGGTCACAAAGACACGACTGAGCAATTTAAATTAAAAAAATCTCATATGTTGAAATCTTAATCCCCAAAGTGGATGGTATTAGTGGGTGGTGTCTTTGGGATTCCTGCCCTGTAACAGAGGGTCCAGAGAGCTCTTCTCCACCACGTGAGGACATAGAGAGGGAGCAGTCAGCAGTCTTCAGCTCCGAAGGCAGCCCCGGCACCCAGACACTGAATCTGCCACACCACCATCCTGGACTTCCCCACCCCCAGAACTGTGAGAAGTAAATGTTTGCTGACTGTAAGTCCCTCAGTCTGTGGTATTTTATTAAAGCAAGTGGAACAGACTAAGCTATTTAGTAATCATTTTCCTCAGGATTACCCATTTTATCATATTATCATATTAAAAAGCATGATGGAATTGAGTGGGGGAAAAGCCTGTATTTTTGGACAAAATCTGTCTTTAGATTGGAAAGAAGACACTAGTGAGGGAGATTTTGCAAAACAAAGGCCATGAACAGTGTGCAATTTCCTTCACTGCCTTAACTCAATAAAATTTCCTTCATTGTGCTTAACTCAATAAACTCGGGTTGGGGCACTTTCTAATTTATGAAGACGGTTTTTGCCAGGATCAGGGTCACCAAGGCCAGGAGCAACGTGTCTTCATTCTAGACCCAGGTAAAACTGTCCGCAGGCATCCCTGGCCCTTTTGGAGCACCAGATGCACAGATCTGTACCGGCACCCCTCCTCCTCTGCACCTCCAGATAGGTGCACACCTTCTAGGGCCCACTGCTGGGGCTGATGGGAGAACAGGAGACCTGGAGACGTAGGGGCAAGGCTTGTCCCTGCTCCTTACCATGTGCCCTTGGGGAGGTCATTTTACCCCATAAGCCTCTGGTTTCCTCATTCAAAAATTAGAAATACCAACACAGAGCTCACTGATGCTAAATTAGTGTTCATGAGGAATATTAGACCGACTGTCGTTTGGTGATAGCTTTAGCCTATATCAGGTTCAGCACCTCTGGGTCACCCTGGCAACACCACTGCCTGGGGGTGGCCCACAGGAGAGCCAGACTCCTGACACTTGGCTGAGTGCACGCTCTGCTCCTGCCATCTGGTGGCTGTTGACGAAAACTACCTCTTATTCTACAGCCTCTGTGAGCAAGGAAGCCGAAAGATGAGCAGACCCACAAGGCGTGGTAAAGGTGTGTTAGGAATGAAAGGATGTAGGCTCCTTATTTAGGAAGCTGTGAAATCATCTCACACAGGACCCATCTCTGGACCCCTGACAAGTCTGCTCCAACAATTGACTGTAGGAGGCAGGTGGCTCCCAGAGCAAACCAGGTTTTTTTTATTTTTTAGCGTCAGAATTTGTCAATCCAAAGTCTTCTGTGTAAAAAATGAACTTCACTGTTCACAAACTGTAAATAGTGAACTAGGAAATATACAAATTCACATAGGAAGAATTCTTATAAAAAATGCTAAATCTGAATGTGATCCTGAAAAGTAAAGTTGTTAGTTACTCAGTAGTGTCTTTGCGACCCCATGGACTGTAACCCTCCAGGCTTCTCTGTCCATGGGATTCTCCAGGCAAGAATACTGGAGTGGATTGCCATGGCCTCCTCCAGGGGATCTTCCCAAGATGGTAAAGAATCTGTCTGCAATGCAGGAGACCTGGGTTCAATCCCTGGGTTGAATATATATGTTCATATTTCATATATACATTCATATATTAAAATATGAACATATATATGATTATGGAATATGAACATATATATTATATCATATAGATGATTAAACTGCTGCCTTTTTAGGTATAAAGCTGATGGCACGATTCTATAGGAAATATCTTTGTTCTTGATGGATGTCAAGTTGAAACACTAAAAAAATTTAGGAGTGAAGTGTCATGATGTTTGTAACTTGTTTTCAAAATGGTTCAGGAAAAAAATGTATAACTTTGTATATATAATGTTTTATATATACATGTACAAGGAGAGAAAAGAGAGAAAAAACAAATATGGCAGAATATTAACAACAATTAATCTAGGTAAAGGCATGCAGATGTTCGCAGTACCACTCTTTCAACTTCTTTGCAGATTTGGAAAACGTCCTAGTAAAAAAGTTGGAGAAATTAGATCTGTATGCTGCTCCTCAAATATTATGCGAAGGTAAGTATTCTCTTTTCACTTCATTTTTTCAGTTGAGTAGATTATTGGCAATGTTTGCATCTGTATAATTATCCCCTTGAAAAATATATTTTGTTTTGCCCTGTTTGCTCCCCAGAAGGAACATTCGCATGATATTTTTATAGCCAGCCACGGCCAAGTCCACTCAGGACTCATCCGTGTAGCTTCATCTGTACCTTCTCTAATAAGGCGTTTTATGGCCATGTGTTTCCTGCCTTTCCTGATGCGCCCTTTTACTGTTCCTCCTCCCGTGGTGTCTCTTCTTATGGCAAATGTTGCCTTTAGTCTCTTTCTGGGCTGCTTGGTCTTTCATCCACTGCTTAATAACGTGATTGTGCGCGCTGACACAGACTCTTCTGCGCTTGACATGAAGGCTGGCAAGAAGGGAAGAAAAAAAAAATCACCGACAGACGGGACAAGTAAGTAAAAACTTAGCGAACTTGTAGGCAGTTCCCACCTGGGGACAGTGCATGTCTGGACACAGACTGAATCCTAAAGCTGAGGACCGCAAGGATGAATCTTTACTACAGCGCTGCCTGCGGTCCCTCGGACATCCAGAGAAAATATTAAAAGGACCGGCAGGAGGACTTGGAGGAGGAGGAGGGAAAGGGAGAGGGGGAGAGGCAGGAGGAGGGGGAAGAAGAGGAGGGCAGTGGAAGAAGGGAGAGGCGGAGGGAGAGAAACCATGTGAATTACTTGTAGATATGGGGTGAAAAATGTTCAAAATAAGGACAATCTGGTTGCGTTTCAACAAAACAATCTTACTGTAATATATATTTGTACCATGTCTCAGAAGTTGTTCTCGTTTTCATTTTTCTATATGAAATGTTGACACTGGCATAGGAGAATCCTAGAACACCATTCACAATTTCTGGTAACTCGAAGAATTTCTTGTTACAATAGACATGGCTTTTAATTCCCCATCAGATGCCATCCAGCTCTTATTAACTGTTGCAAATCCTGCTGGTTATACATATACAATATTTCTGTATCTGGATAAATGGAAACCCATCACCCTTCTCTTTGGGAAAAAAAACAAGTGGGGATAGAAGGTAGGCTGCTGTTTCTCCAGATGACCCAAAAGGAAACATCAGCTAATGTGGGGACTTCTGAAATGGGACGAAAAGTTGGGAAAGGCTTGAATACTCTTGAGCATAATAAAGCCAGCATGTGGGATTATTAACTTAAAAGAAGTGAGGCATCTTACTAGGAGGCATCTTAAAAACATCTCTAAGTGTATTAGATTGAGAGGTCTTCAAAAGAAAAGCTAATTCTCCCTATGGCCCATTGGCTTGCCTTAAGCTATTACAGGAGAAAACTTGGCTATAGCACGAACATGGAGAACAAACAAAACAACAAACAAGAAAGAGCTGAAGTTCCTACTCTTTCCAAAGGACTAAATTCTCTCCTTACCCCATGGCGTCAGCAAGAATCCGAGCGGACACTCGGGGAGAAGGACCCCACTGACGGCCAGATAAGCCCATCGCTGCAAGGGAGAGAACTAGGACTCGACGCCAGCATTGCTCGGGGAGTGAGGAGCCCCAGGCAGGGGCATTGGCCCTGGGGCTACAGGAGACACCGGGATGGGGAATGCAGACAGAGGATCCAGGGAGGAGGGAAACGCAGGAACACAGCAACACCTGCCATGTGGGATTTCAAAGGCCTGCTCAGTGGGGCCTCAAACCCTCAGTGTAATGCAAGCAGAAAAACCAGCTGCCGGAACATAGTGCTCAGACCCAAGATGTGCTGGTGTTTTAAAACCCTTAAGTTTAAAGACTGCTTAAACCTACACTTGTATCACACGTGTCTCCATCAGGATAAGGGGGTGGCCTTTTTCACACTCCCTGCCCTCCTCCAATTCCACAATATTCTGGTGGGCACTGAGCCCCTCAGTTGTGAATTTCTAGGTGAAGAGTTTGATGCTAAGAAACCACTAGGCTGATCTCTTGATTTTTCTCTTTTTGCACATAAGAGTAGCTAGTGACAGTCCAGTGGATTTTGAAGGAAGGCCCTGCCATAGATTATAAGTATAATTGATCCCTAAACTTTATTTCTTTGCCCATTTCTCTAAGTACAATAGCCTTTCAACAACCATTTTTGAAAAAATACTCAAGCCTCCCAAACAACTTTGTTCAATAATTCTAAATTTTCTTCCTAACAGATAAGGTCTATATGATTCAAGAAAACTCAGCCCTCTTCCAAAGATATGCACCTTTGTGTTTTGTTTATGTGTAGAAAGAGCGAGAAACTCTTTAATGAAGTCACCATAGACAAATTTTTAAACAAGCAGACTGCTTTCTCAGACATCAGCTATTACAGTGATTGTGTAAAGGGTGTGAAAAGAGAGGACCTATTTCTAGGCAAAAAAGGACAATGAAATGAATTTACTGTGTTCACTGTGAGTTAAGTTGTATTAGTTAATTGAGATTAATAATGCATACTATTTCGGAATTGCAATTTCAATGCTTGCAATGGTTTCTTCATCTAAAACACTTATCTCAAACCTTGAAGTCTTTATACATATTCAAAGTCAAGGGAACTAATGTTCAAGAAGAGCAAATTAAAATTGAGATGACATACCACTAAACACACTAAACTAAAATTAGGAAGGCTGGGGGCACCAAAAATTGGAAAATGTTTAAAAAAACAACATAGTTAAGGGACTACATTTTGGATAAGTAAAAACATGTTCTGTAGTAAAACAATTTGGAAACAGAGAACATTTAACTTTTTATGTTGAATGTAAGGAAACACAAAAGAGATGATTTATCATGTAATCATGTAACTTATGATTACAAAATAAGACACAGTCCAATTTCATCTTACTTGAGAAGTAACCATCTTACCAAGTCATAAGCACTTTATATCTTTCAGCTGTCTTATCAGCACGGAGGTGTCAATTTATAAAACTGTACTTGAATGAAGTGTTTTTAGATTCAAATGATTGGCTTCATAGTTTCCCTTTAACTAAAATTGAGTCCTTTTTAAAATGTTTTTGATCATATTGTCCATTGTTGAAGTGAAAACCTGTATCGTTTCTGTTCCTATAGAGAATCACCTTCTGTTTTCATTTTAATCTTTTTCCACTCAGAACGTCCCTGTTTGGCTGAGGAAAGTCACGCACATTGTCTGGTGACTAAAAGCATCTCGCCTTCACCAGAGCACTGCAGTGCAGGATGCGGAGGGCTAACGTGGGGCTCTGGGCATCCTGGTACTGAGAGAGTGCATTCACACCAGCCTCCCCTCTCTTGTTCAAATAGCGATCTGTACGTCGGGTAGCAGGCAGAGTCTCCCCAACCTATGGCTCACCGCTGGGGAAATGGTCACTCAGCAGGTTTAGCCCTCCTGCCAAAGAGCACTCACATGACAGCAGCCAGGTCACAATCCCCATCGGCTCTCTGGATGCGACATGTCGTCACTCTGTCCAGAAGCCTTCTGGAAATACGATGCGAAACCTCGGTGCAGCAGCTGGAGGCAATGGGAAGTATGGCTGAAAGAAGAAAAGAAAGAAATGTGAAATCGTATGGGTTATAGAACACATGTTGTTCAGTCGCTAACTCAGGTCCAGCTCTTTGCAACCACCATTGACTAAAGCATGCCAGGCTTCTCTGTCTTTCACCATCTCTCGGAGCTTGCTCAAATTCATGTCCATTGAGTCAGTGATGCCATCCAACCATCTCATCCTCTGTCGTCCCCTTCTCCTCCCACCTTCAATCTTTTCCAGCATCAGGGTCTTTTCCAATGAGTCAGTTCTTCACATCAGGTGGCCAAAGTATTGGCGTTTCAGCTTCAGCATCAGTCCTTCCAATGAATAGTCAGGACTGATTTCCTTTAGGATTGACTGGTTTTATCTTCTTGAGGTTCAAGGGACCCTCAAGAGTCTTCTCCAGTACCATAATTTGAAAGCATCACTTCTTCGGTGCTCAGCCTTCTTTATGGTCCAACTCTCACATCTATTCATCACTACCATAGATTTTCTTATGGTTTTACCATAGGAAAAACCATAGTTTTGACTATATGGACCTTTGTTGGCCAAGTTTATCATAGCTCTTCTTCTAAGGAGCAAGCATCTTTTAATTTTGTGGCTGCAGTAAACATCTGCAGTGATTTTGGAGCCCAAGAAAATAAAATCTGCCACTGTTTCCACTTTTCCCCCATCTATAGAACACTGACCTGGCTTTATCTTGGAGACTCCAGAGAAACAGAATGTTAACCTGCTTGAATGAGGAGCAATCACTTACTGGGGGCTTTGTGTACACAGACCACAGAGCAGGACACGCCTCCACCTTCCAGAACTCACACTGTATTTGGGGGAGATAAAACTAAGCACAAGCAAAGACATAAAGCAAGGGAAGATGAGGGTAGTGGGGTTGCGACTGGATTTGCTTAAAGAGGCAAGATTAATAGAGTGTCCCAAAAACTCAGAGGGGACCAACCACATGGGTCCCTGGAGCAGGTTTGAAATTAACTGCCCAGAAAGGACTTAACTGAATCTTTGAGGATTTGGAGGGATGGCAAAAAATGGAGAAGACTTATCCAGGCTAAATGAAGTGCACGGTCAAGAGTTTTGAGATAGGAAAGTACAGGGCACACTTAGGGAATACAGAAAAATAGACCTCTTTGTCTGAACCAAGCTACTAAGAAGCTGATTGATGAAGGATATGGTTCGAAAGATAGACTGACATCACATCATTGACGCCTTGAATGTTAGTCTAAGGAGGTTTATCTTTTTTGAAATGGAGTCCATTAAAGATCGAGAAAAGAGAAGGGTTTTGGAAAAATTTGTCTTGCAGTGATGAGCAAGTAGGGATAAGTGGGGTGTGATTAGGGCAGGAAGTCGTTAGGAGAAACTTATGTGACCCAGATAAAAGGAGAAAAGAGCAACACAAATATGAAAGGAAACCTAGTCCCCTACTAAAATGTCTATCCACAAATTCCTCCAGCACATGCTACCTGCACACAGTATTCTATGCTCCCGATTCCTCCAAGTGGGTGATACATTTTTTAAAAAGTTAGAAATTATGGCTGCAGGTGGCAGTCTTAACAGACAGAAGTGAGCCCCTAAATTAAGATTAAAATCCCTCAGTGGTGTCAACTCTAAGCCACAGAGGTTTCTGATCTTGGGACAAGAAGAGATTATTAGTGAAAGAAACCAGGTTTAAAAAGCCATATATGGTATGATCCCATGTATATGAAAAGTCCATAGACAAATCCATAAAGACATAAAGCAGATTAGTGTTTGCCAGGGGTGGGGGTAGGAGGGAATGACTGCTAACAGATACAAGGTCTCTTTAAGGGGTGATGAAACGGGCTGAAATTAGATAGCAGTAATAGTTGTACAATTCTGTGAATATACTAAAAATCACTGAATTGTATACTTTCTTTGTTCATTTTTGTTTTTGTTTTGGCTGTGCCTCACAGCTTGCAGGATCTCAGTTCTCCCACCAGTAACTGAACCCAGATCAAGGCAGTGAAAACCCTGAATCCTAACCACTAGGCCACTGGGGAACTCTCTACATTAAATGCCATTTTTTCTTAGCCACTCTGAACTGTGAAGCAAGGCCCATGACAATAAAGCACTGAATCCTAACCACTGGACTGCCAAGGAATTCCCTATTTCAATTTTTTTTTTAAAGGGCAGTGGGAGAACAGAACACTGGTTCTCACATTTATTAATGCGTTGATTTCCTGAAACTAATAGTTCCTTTCTTTAGCTACACTGTGCTGCTATTCTCCAAGTAAAGTTGTTTTAATACCCCAAACAAGGTTTTGGGCTTATTCATGTAACTATCCATTCATTCACCCATCTTACTATATAAGAATTATTATGTGAATTCTTAGAAATGAAATACTATCTATAGCTATGTCTCCAAGTTCTTTTATATTGAATCACTGTGTTAGACCCTGGGAGTAGAAAAATGAACAGTTACTATTACACAGAACCCTCTATTAGTTGTCACGACTCTTTGTGACCCCATGGATATAGCCCACCAGGCTCCTCTATCCATGGGATTCTCCAGGTAAGAATACTGGAGTGGGTAGCCACTCCCTTCTCCAGGGAATCTTCCTAACCCAGGGATTGAACCTGGGCCTCCCACATTGCAGGCAGATTCTTTAGCATTGAGCCACCAGGGCAGCCCCAGTTGTGACCCAGACAACTATAAAATCTGAAATGGACTTTCAAAAGCTATGTGGGAATTAAGAATCATAGGTGAACTTATGTGTTTAAGAATTCGAGTTATCTGAATGCTGACATCAATTAAAAGCACAGTTTTAACCCAGAAAAGCACCAGGGACCTATATGTACTTAACAAACTGGATGACATTTCTCAGATATCAAGGTAAGACAGGCTCACCTGGAGATCACTTAACCTATCAGATTAACTAGCAAAAGACTAGAGGCAGGCAAGCATATTTGGTGTTTGTAGGTGTGACTGGTGCCCTAGTGAGGCACCTGGAAATACAATAGGCCAAGAAAGACAGAATCCTTTGAAGAGTACACAAGTTAGGCAATGAAGCTTGTGGGATGGTTAGGACTAGGGTGAAGGTAAGATTCTTGTAGATAACATCACCCCCCCAGAGGTTTTCTCATGCAACTTCCTGTCCGAATATTTCCATTTTTAAAGAACAATCCATGCTTCCCTAGCAGTCCAGTGATTAAGAATCTGCCTTGTTTGGAGAAGGAAATGGCAACCCACTCCAGTGTTCTTGCCTGGAGAATCCCAGGGACGGGGGAGCCTGGTGGGCTGCCGTCTGTGGGGTTGCACAGAGTCGGACACGACTGAAGTGACTTAGCAGTAGTAGCAGAGTGCTCTTTGGAAAACCCAACCATGAACGATTTAAAAATATTTCAATGAGTCCCCTAAGGTCAAGTTTAGCATTCATCTTCATGTCCTATCAGCCCCTGCAGCCTCCTGTCTTCCTCCCATGTACCCAGAGAGAAATAGATGTGCTTCCTTGAACACAGGAGACAGTACACGCCTCTGGACATTCACACACACTGGTTTCTCTTACTGGATTGTCTCTTCCCCTACTGTGCCCACTAAATCCTACTCTCCTTCAAAATGCAGCTCACTATGCACCTCCGATGTTATACCAATTATCTCTCAAAGCCGGAAAAAAAGTTTGTGTAGTGATTCCCTAGTCAGATGCAGTTAGTTTTCAACTAAATGAACAGCACTGGAGGCAAAATACTGTCAGAGCCTTAATTACACTGTTTCATAAGTATGTATTTATTCACAGGTTATTATATTAATACCTTTTATTTTTTTACTTTACATTTTTTTATAATTGTCTTACTTTCACAATTTTATAATTCATTATCTTTGAACTAAAACCTTTATCTCACTGTTAAAATTCTTATGTTAAAATGTCTGTCTTCCCACCAAAATGTAAGTACTTTAACAGTAGAAATTATCACTTGTTTCATAATGAAGTGTTCTATACTATTAGATGCTCAGTGTATAAGTGAAAAATGAATGACAAACTAAAGTGGGAAGAATTATCATCATGAAAAACAAAAATAAGAAGCAAATATATGGTTTAACTTAAAAATTGATATACTTTATGTCCTTGAACTATATAAACTTAGGTAGAGAACTTAAGTTTTATGTTGTAATTTTTCTATTAGAAAAATGATCTAATAGTATTTAGCATCCACTCTGCATAGTGTTCCTGTATAAATTAATTAGACTTTTTAAAAATGCTTGGAGTTCATCAAAAGAAGCACTACACACTGAGATACCTCTCTAAACCAAATAATCTTTATAAACATCTTTATATTGTGGTTTTTATTAATATACTTCCTAAATATATATATATCCTCCTTTAAGAGAAAATAAGCACATTTAAGTGTATAAAACAGGATTATAATTAAATCTGTCATGCATCAAAAGGAAATTTTTGAAGCTATAATGGATGACATAAAAATCCACTGATAAAAGTGTGCAGTTTAGAAGCAATTTCCATTCAATTATCCCAATGAGCTCATATTTATCAATAAAATAACCTATCTGTGATTTAAAAAAAAAAAAAAAAGAATCTGCCTTGCAATGCAGGGGACACTGGTTTGGTTAGATCCCGGGTATGGGAAAATCTCATGTTGCCATAGAGCATCTAAGCCCAGGAGCCACAACTACTGAGTCAGTACTCTAGAGCCTTGGAGCCACGCTCCACAGCAAGAGGCCAGCACACTGCAACTAGAGAGTGGCCCCGGCTCCTCAGAACTGCCTGCACACAGCAATGAAGACCCAGCGCAGCCCCCCAAAAAGAACCATCAGGTGTCAGGAAGCACTTAACAGGAGGCTTCCCACGTGCTGTTTTGGATCTGTGAGGAAACCTTTGGCCCTTATTAATTCCTGAATATTCAGGAATTAAGAGGAGAGGCACCCCTTTCCTGGGGCTGAAGAATCCAGGCATTTCCTTTGTTAGTTTCTCTTTATGGTGATAAATACCCTCTTCTCCCCTTAATAGGGATCGCCTTGTGTTTTG